ATAGGTTAGGTTAGGTTAGGTAGGGTTGGTTAGGTTCGGTCATATATCTACGTTAATTTTAACTCCAATAAAAAAAAATTGACCTCATACATAGAGAAAAGGGTTGCTTTATCACTTCATAAGAAAAAAATTATAGTAAATATATTAATTCAGGAAAACTTGGCTTATTAGGCAAATCGGGCCTTGAATAGTAGGCTGAGAAGTGAGTTCTGGCTACTAGGTACGACATATATATATATATAATATTATATGTAATAATTTATGGCATCTCACTTGAATAACTTTCAATATGGACAACAGACGTCCGTAATGACACGTGAAAATGAAAAATTATTTTTTTGAATGACTTTTTCTGAATAATGATTTTTTCAGAAAGTTTTTTGTTCAGATTTTTTTCAGAAAAATTATTTTTTCATAAAAATGAATTTTTCATTTTTTTTAATTCTTTTTTCAGAAAAAAATATTTCTGAAAAAATCTAAAAAAAAAATCCTGAATTTTTTTCTGAAAAATATATTTTTTCTGGATTTTTTTCTGAAAAAATTGATTTTTTTCTGAAATAAATTATTTTTTTAATGAAAACATTTTTTTTAGAAAAAATTATCTTTTGTTGACAGTTTACATTTGGTCAGGTCTACATCAGCATATAATAAGAACTCCCAGAGATACTTGTAACCGAGTCTAAGCCAAGCAGTAGTAACATCTAGAAGTCTACGGATTTTATTGGATGATCCATCGTGTGTGGCCTCAGATCTACAAGATTTTGTTGAAGTTCTTGGTGTACTATTGCTCTCAGAATGCTTATTGACAATCCAAGGTTATACTCGGTTTCTTCTTTAAAGGCAGATTCTTTGGCCAACTCATCAGCTCTATCATGCATTCGATGGCCAACATGAGATGGATTCTACGTGAAATGGACTTCATTATTAATTTTGTTGTATTTGCGTCTAGCTTCAGACACGAGCATGTTACAATTATGTCTTAAAGAGTTGGGAGCAGTTAAGGATGATAGTCACTTACAATTAATGTATCAAGTTTGGAGACTTGTACACATTTCATTGCAAGAAGCAAGGCAAATAGTTCGGTTTGAAGGGTAGAGGCCCTTCAGAATGGGTTTATACGGACTTCCCACTTAAAATATAAGCCATTGCTCATTGTTAGGACAACTGCACTTCCAGCTGCACCCGTGGGGGCGGTGTAGGGAACCATCAGTGTATATGATTTGAGAGAATGCTCTGTGGACAGAACATCAATATGGCTTACGGCTAATCCTCAAGACGAAGCTTGGGCTGATGTCTGATTTACTTCTTGGGTGGAAAGGTAGGGATTAAAATTAGAAAAAGTGTAATCTCCGGTTCAGAAAAGTGCCATTGTTATCTCTCTTGGAATAAATTATAAATCTATTGCATTCTGAGTTCAGTTCCAGTTTTAGTTATCCATTTGGAACAAGGTTGACCTTCAATAAAGAAATTTGGGAGGGCTTCTGTGCAAGGGTTAGGATGAGCTAGCCTAAGTATTTTTATACCAATTTGACAGTGAATTTCAGTAACAGGATCAAGAATGCTCGGAATATTAAGTTCCTTTCTCACGTTAAGTATCTTTGTGGTACGAGAGCACCCGAGAATTATCCTCCAGGCTTCGTTCTTCATTTTTGTTTTTTTTTTGTTTTGAGATATATACGAGTTGTTACATTCTTGTACAACTTTCCTGTACATTCTTTCAACCCCTCCAAGCTTTCTTTCATGCATCAAAGCACGTAGAGGTGCAGCATAATCCACTGAAGATTTGATACATCATTTTGACAGTTCTAACATTGGCACCATAGCCTGAGTGATAACTTGCAACAGACCTGAGAGCTCTGAGCCTCTTTATACTGACAACAGTCTGAATACAACAGGACCATACAGTGGCACCTTAAGGCTAAGGTATTTGAATCTGTTTACATAGTCAAGCTGGGAGCCATCATAAAGTTGCATTTCCCTAGAATCTCGTTTATTTTGAGATTATTCAGCCCATCCTCAGATCAAATCCATTACCATGAGAAACCACACCCCCTCTCAAACTACCTTAATAGTTAGTTATCTAGATATCTGTAAAGGTTTGAAAGCATATTACGGTTTCAGTAATAGTTTACATGTAAACTGGCAAATTAACTTGAGAATAATCTCCGTTTACGACAAAGGTTATCACTTTAATGTAATCTCAAGGTGTAATCCCAATCGTTGGTGTAAAATATAAACAGTCTGTACTGAAAACGTTTTCTTTGTATTTGGTTTTCTGTAAACGGAATTCGCGGGCACACTGAAACAATTTTCGAATTCAATATTTCACATTATCGTCAATAATACATCGTATTAACGTAACCAAACATAATGAAAGCCAACGTCCCGCATTCAAACTCTTCGACCCCTCCTACATTCAGAGCACCACGCTCTACACTCCTACCCTGCATACCAGCTCTCTACCCCCGGCCTGTCTCAAGCTCTGCTCTGCTCCAGACTTCGTCTTCACAACTACGATCGACACTTCACTACATTGCCAACAAGCCGATTGCTGTAACAAAGACTATACTAAATAAATATAAAAAAATCACTAAACTGTCTTATCACCCAAAACAAACGAAGTCGTTCCCGGTCCATTTCCTTGAGGATCCTAAGGCCACGTTGGGGTCTATTGGGATTGTTGTTGTTTATTTTGGATTCAGCTACTCTGAACAAAGCTTTAATGTAGCACGGGCTATTGTAAACCCGTAAGTCTGTTGTGAATAAATACGGTGTTAAATAACCATTTCTGTCTCTAGCCATCTCACTCTCTGGCTATCTTTTCGTCCTCCCATCACCCCTCACCCCAACCCTTTGCAAGAAGCACTGAAATAAGTGTACAGGGTCTTGGATGTTTTGCTTTCCCTTTTCTCTCTCCATTTTTGTAATCGAAAACGCTGTGTTAGTGGCTTTGCAAGAATGTAAGAACACCAATGCTGTGTACTCTCACAACCCAATATGTACCTTCTTGTATAAGGGGGCCTTACTGCTGAGTGGATAACATAAGGGGCCTTACTGCTGAGTAATGCTTCGCGTTCATAGTCCTATGGGGTCCGGGTACGATCCCCGGCAGAGTTTTTCACCCCGATGCCCCTGTTCACTTAGCAGTAAATAGGTACCTGGGAGTTAGACAGCTGCTAAGGCCTGCTTCTTGGGGGTGTGTGTGTGCGCGCGCATGTGCATGTACTCACCTATTTGTGCTAGTGGGGGTTTAGCTTTGGCTCTTTGGTCCCGCCTCTCAACTGTTAATCAACTGGTGTACAGATTCTCGAGCTTACTGGGCTCTATCATATCTACATTTGAAACTGTGTATGGAGTTAACCTCCACCTCATCACTGCCTAATGCGCGCGTGTGTGTATTCACCTAGTTGTGCTTGCTGGGGTTGAGCTCTGCTCTTTCGGCCCGCCTCTCAACTGTCAATCAACTGCGTGTGTGTGTGTGTCGGGGTGGGTGGGTGAGAGTGTAAGTGAGCGGGCCTGAGTCTGTCACCATCCAAACAACTCTAGGCGCCTGCCCAACCATCTAGTTAACTTACCCATCAACATTTACACCCACCCGTGCCCTCTCATTCGAATCACTCATTTAGCACCCACCCATCTAGCGCCCACCCGTCCATCCACCCATCTAGCGCCCACCCGTCCATCCACCCATCTAGCACCCACCCGTCCATCCACCCATCTAGCACCCACCCATCTAGCACCCACCCGTCCATCCACCCATCTAGCACCCACCCGTCCATCCACCCATCTAGCACCCACCCGTCCATCCACCCATCTAGCACCCGCCCGTCCATCCACCCATCTAGCACCCACCTGGACGTGCAGATAAGAGAATAGGTCGCCCGCCACAGCTACTTGTGTCGGAGGTTGACGCGCCAAATTAATTCTTATTCAAATACGGACATTTTTATTCCTCCAGCAAAAATAGGTACAATGTTGCAATGAATATGAAAATACAAGAGCGAAAAGTGGGATTGTAATATACGGAACATACCTGGCGCCGGAGTGTTAGTTAGGTGGTATGCAAATGTGGGGGAGGGGATGGCGGTCCTCACAGGGTACCCTCCCTTTTGTCTTCCTTCATGGCATCCCCTCCCTTTTCGTTTTGTATATTTTTTGTTTTCGTTGGGCATGCCACAGTTTCCCCAACTTGGTGTCTTCTTTTGATAATTATTGCTTGGCTAGCCATTTTGGATTTTTTTTTTTTTTGAGGGGGGGTCATTTTGAAATGTTTTATTTTTAGCAGGTATAAGAGTAAAAATTTGCAGTTCCCAGCCATATTTGGATTCTCCCGAATGAACTCTTCGTTGCCGCTAAGGTGGCCATCCGTATTCGCAACATTACCTGGAAAGGGGTTCCCTATTCAGATTTCTACCTGACATTCATGATGCTATCTGCAACCATTGACAGTGTTGTTGGGCTGGCATCACAGGTAATAAACATATGTGTGACTTTTTCCCTTGGCCTTTCTCCTGCCACTATAAGCAGTGTCGGGAGACGGCTCCGGCTAGGTAACTTACTGGACATACCCACCTGACTTTGTAATCACGTAATGGGAGTGTCCCAATTTCTTTTGTTCTGCTTACAGCCTTACACCTTATCAATTGCCCTGAATTTTATATTCAAGTGTCTTGCTTTCCTGAAGTCCCTAGGTTTGGGTTCTCTCAATAGCATCCTAGGTGATTTCCAATACCTTTGATATCATTCACCTTACGTCCTGTAATCATATTGGTATCTTGAATTATTTAGCACGCTTTAAATACCTTGTGACTTGCAGTGCTACATAGTCCTCGTGGCTTGACACTTGCTTTGATAATTACTCAATTGAGTTAATTAACAATTGAAAGGCAGGACTAAAGAGCCCAAGCTCAACCCTGCGAGCACAAGTAGGTGAGCACAATTATATAATATTTTCATTAGTATTTTATCCTGAATAACTGCTTGGTAGTAATAAAAATTCATTTTAATAAAGCAATTTATTTCTTTACACTTTATATTTGTTTAACAATTATATATGTAAACTTATACTGGGTTTTTTTACAGTCTCCTTGTCCTAAAATGGACGACCATGAGAATGAACATAAGTCATACATTATATTAACTATATAGAACCTAACAAGGTTATCTCAAATAAGCATTAAGATCTGACAAAGGAATTAAAATTGACACGGGTAATAATCTACATACCATTTAAGGGTCATAAATGTAAACATCCACACAGTACAAGTTTTGACCCGAGCAGGATGGAATAGTTTACCAATACAAAGACTTTACAAAAAAATATTTCCCTTTGACTTGGAAAACATTTAAAAAGTTTACTGTACATTCATATGCACATGAATAGATTTGAAAGGTTTAAGAGACTAAACATCAAATGACTGATAAAAGTACTTTGTTCAAGTCACTCATTACATTCTAAGTACAAAAAAGATGTGTAACTGGGTTCTACAGAAGGCAGAGGTAATGGCTAGTTCAAAACAGTGAGAATGAACCCCATGTTTTGACTCAATACTGTGAAAATATAAATTTCACTTCATAATTTCCACACACAAGATTAGCATTTGTAGGGATCTCTTGCTTCCCACCAAAATGTAACCAATTAAGTGTTTTTCACTAAAATGATCTCCACACATGTTGAAAGCATAGTGTTCATACACCAGCCAATTGCATAATCTTAATAGTTCAGTAAGCATGACGTATGAACATCAATAAATTATAGATCTTAGCTTCACCACAGGAAACATAACCAAACCTTTTACTGTTTAAGAGCATCTGATAAATCATTTATATACTGTACTGTATACTTAAAACTCCTTGTCCAGCAAATACCACACACAATCCAGTTAATATAGCATACACTCATTCGACTTTTGCAATGAAACAAAATTAATATTGGTTATTGGAATATTTTTTTTTTAATTCTTTGTTTTAGAGATTGAAATAGTTATTGCCAAATGAATTTTACTTAACTGATTTGAAAGTTTACGATTACAAAATTGTATCATATTTGTTGGCTATTTTATGTGAAAGCTCCTTGATAACAAGTGTTGTGATATACAGGATAACTTGCAACATGCAAGCATTGCTACTGAGGAATTATCACTCAAACCTTAAAAATGATTACAAGTGATGTGCAGCTTTAGCAAGTTACACAGGCGTGAGAAAAAGAAATCTACTTGGCAAATAAGACTACAACTTCAAATACAAGGTGAAAATGCCTTGGTAAAATACAATTCACCAATATAATGAGTGGTATGTTACTATAAAGCTAAGAGCTATTACTATGAGCATTTTATATTCTGTTGAAGTGTAGTATCCAGTTAGTGGATGTGAGCATCAGGATACCTAACATTCACAATACTGTACAATGAGAAATGTGCAACTCCCAGATCAATTGAAATACTGAAATAGGAATAATTACAGCAAATGCTTTTATTCATGTTACCTGCTCTTTGCAAAAAAAAATATTTTTCACATTGTAAATTAGAAACACATATACCACAAAAACCATTTAATTCCTCTTGCATGTACAGTACTGAACATTTTCGAATGAATTATAACACATTCAGTCGTAAAAGTGAACCCCTTTTTGAATGAAAGGAAAAAAGTAACACAAAGTGGACCTGGACCATGAAGCTGGTTTTGTGGGATGGAGCAAACTGACAACCGTCACATTGCTTGACGAGACGTGTTTCGTGCACATCAGCTCAATACATCGAGCACACACTAAGAATAAAATTTGTTGCTTTATAAATAACATCTATAAAACTTCTTGTTAATTGAATCATTCCAATATGGAAGCAAATTTTAAATATACATATCATTGTGAAAACCTTCAAATGTTCCACAAAACATTAAAACTATAAAATACCCCTCATGATAATAGGCATCAAATAAAGCCTTTCTTTTATGTCCACGTCATCTCTGATTCATGCAGCTATGAAAAACACCTCTCTCGCAGTCTATAGAGAGATTTTGTGGAAGGCAAATATTACCAAACGAAGCCTTAATTCCACTAGACAATATATTAACATGTGGTTATTAGTCACTTAAGTATTATATGGGATTAACTACATGTTCTGATATTCACCTAGATATCTTCCACTACTGACCTAGCTGACTGAGATCATAACAGTAATAATGTGTATGCTTGTCATACTAAATCCCTAAAATCAACTTTCAATACCAGTTTGGCTTTTATATGGATTCAATATTTAGAATAAATCAGTGACACTATTTAAGAACATGGTCTAATGTTCATAAGTAGAATGTATGTACTCCAATTTCGTACAATCTTCCCCCTTTCAACACAGTAAAGCTTACATACTGTAGGCTTCACGCACACACCAATATATTATTCATGTAGCAAAAGAAAAAAATAAATGATCAGATTTGTGTCATGTCTTCATATTGCACATAAATAGCTTGAAATATTGCATCAGTCTGTGTATAAGCTACAAAGTGTTGTACCAATAACCTTTTCATATTCACACAACAGTGATTGTCAGCAGAGTAAAACTTAAAAAACTTTTGGACAGCAAGTGATTTTGATATGGTGATAACAAAAACAGCGGTTATAGAAATTAATGTATGATAAGTATAGTAAACTCTAATGATTTTGATTTATTATATTACTCTGAAGTTTTAAATACCATGACAACTTTGCAGAGTCAACCTGAGACTGTCGAGGATAATCGAATGAAAAACAAAATTGTTGTTAATCAGCAGATACTCTTGCCATTGATTTTAGTTCTCTGGATTTTGCAAACTGCAATAGATGGGAATTATAATTCATTTTTATCTCTCACACTTTCCAGTATTTACCAAGAACAGTACTGTCCTGAACAATGCTCAGCCAAAAACGTTTAGGGTGATTCATGTACTGTAAACTTGTATATATATATAAAGAGAAAAAAAAAAGTCATTGGAGTAGGCACAGTCAATGTGGTTTGAATGTTATATTCTGGCAGTATTATGTAATATACATTAAAATGTCATTAATGGATGTCACTCATAAATGCCAACCAGACATTTAATGTTCCTTTTAGTGCTTCTTTCAATAAATTACACAAGGCAAGTTTTCATAACAAGAGGTGTTACAATTGATACATTTTTATGTCAAGACCAAAATACGTGCTCATTTACTTCGTGGCTCTTGAGCACTTGTACAAAAATCCCAGAAATTGGTAAACATGGATATCCAACTCCACCTAATATTTTAAGTTCCCTGTGACATTATATTATATTATATTATATTATATTATATATATATATATATATATATATATATATATATATATATATATATATATATAAATTTATTTTTGATATTTATCTGAAAGGAAAGATACTTGCTGAAGGCAGTTGCTTGTACTTCTAGGATGTATTAGAGCGAGCAAGACTGGAAGTTGATTGTGAGGGAGTCACGCTGGAACCCAGGCTCCGACTCAGGTAAGCTCCATAAAACTGCTCCTGTTCACTTAACTGTTTTTCAAACTCCTCTTCCAATTTCTAAGGGATAAATAAAGTGATATACAGATTATTTATTTTGCACACATACAGTATTGATATTAAATATTTTTCACAAATTTCACATCTTAACTAATGAGAACTTGTTAAGGTGTTGGTGACTAACATTCATGCTTCATATCAACAGGCATCTCCTCCCCCCCTCCCCATGCAGTGCTTGTGCAAAACTACCATAGCAAGTTTCAGCATTGAATTTTCTTAATCCTTAAAAGGTTTCAAGTAAGCCAATATAATTTGTTGAGATAGCAAGAGAAGGTACTCGTGAGAGCACTGGTATACTGATGCTAACAACGATATGCCCTTTACTTAGTTAAGCAAAATTTACATCTAATAAAAACAAATATTTCAATAAGCTTCATAAATTATAACTAATTTTATAGCATCTCACAGAAAACAAAAAAATATGAGATGAGAATATTCAAATTGTTAAGAATCTATAATGTTTGTTATAATTTACATTAGTCCTAAATTGATGTTTTATTAATCAAAATTCAAATGTGGAAATTATATTTTAGTATAAAAACTATAAACTGAAATTCTGAATTCATAATTAAGAAATAATTTTAAAACCTTGAAATATTTGAATCCAATATATATACAAGACAATATTAATAAAAGAATGGTATTTTATTGTTCTCATGTGTGACAATTACTTATTGTGAGCCCTTAAAAGCATACACTCGAGTCTGCATGCTGCAAAGAGCCTTTTCAATTTACCACACTCATTACACACATTCACTCCAAAACCACCCTTTTCCTCAAAACTTTCACAACCCGAACTGCTACAAATGTTTCCTCGTTTGTTCCAGCATACATCATAATACTTTTTCACAACTGAGAAATCACTGCTTGACAGGCCCATGTAACAACCCATTAAACACTAACCTACACACAAGATGTGAAAAAGTAAGTACTGTAATTATCAAAAGAAGGCACCAAACCGGGAAGGCTATTTAGCCCCATCAAATGTGCAGAATAATCAGAGGGCGCTAAATATCACCAAGGATGCCAATACGAGAACAGAAATACATAAGCCGTGCGATATCAAAAGTGTCCGATTTACCAAGAATTCTATCGAGGGACAAGCGACTGCAAGGGACAGTCGGAAAACAAGACACACGCTCATCCCGGAAGTCTGGACATTCAACAAGCATATGCACGACCGTAAGAGGGACAATGCAATTTGGAAAATAAGGAGCAGGGCAGCGCTTCATTAAGTGACCGTGAGTCAAGTGTGTATGACCAATACGCAACCTCGCCAGAGCCGTCTCCCATCGCCGGTTACGGTGGAAGGAGGACGGCCATGAGGACCCTACTCTTAAGAGTACTCAGTTTGTTACCAGTAACAGAAGACCAACAATCCTGCCAACAGGTAAGGATGAAGGAATGAATAACTGGGTAAAAGTCAGAATAAGAAATACCTTTATGGGAGATGGGACAAGAGTGGACAGCTTCCCTAGCGGCAGCATCCACACTGTAATGATCTGGTGCTCAGATCATGCCTCTCCCCTCCCTCCTCCCTTTGTCCCCTCCCCTTGCCCGTCACTTGTCTCCCCCTCCCTTTGGTCATCCCTCCCATTTGTCACAGTCTGACCCTCGTGATCATAAACAGTTTGAAGTCACTTGTTCCCCTCTCTCTCCTGTCCATCTTTCCAGTGAAAAATTGGAAATAGTACCTCAGGGCCAATAAACTTGTGCTCTCAAATTACATGTGGGTGCCCAGCCGGCATTTCCCACATAACAGTCGTTGGTGCTTTCCCAGTTACTTGGAGTTTTTTGTCAAGAGGATTTGACCCTTATGGTCAAGCCTGATTCTGATTTAGTGCCTGTCCATGCCATTGGCCGAGCTTCTAGAACACCCAGTTGTGTTTAAATCCATTGGCCATAGGCTTGGAATAGGCAGAGTTAAATTGGGCCTAGGAACTAAGTGGGTGGAGCCTGGTCCACTGGTAAGCGTTTTTAGAAAATATTAGTTAGCGTGTCTTGGAGCTTAGTGGGGTCCCCTTGACCTGTGGGAGGCAAGCCATCAACATCTTAGCCTCAGTGCTGTTTTAAGGTATTGTGCACTTGAGTATTCATGTCCTCGGTAGATATCCATTTTGCCTCTTAGGGATAATAGAGTAGGGTATATGTTCATTTGATTTCAATATATGTTTAAATTAAATAAAAGTGAAAAATTGGCTTTGTTATTTAGTTATCCCTGTCCCTTTTGTGATTACAGTTTTGCAGTTTCTGTTGCGGAATATTTATGTATTGGCTTGGAAAGTTCCTGTGTTCGCATCCATCTTATGAATATTAAAGTCGCTCTTGAATCCCCCCCTTCAGTTCAATAAGATTACAGTATTAATACATTAAGATTTATTTACTTGCCCCTTTGAGTTCCATGATTATTGAGTCCCTTCCTTCCTGGGAAAACAATAATTTAAACACATTCATTTATGGTTGGGAAGGTGGTGGCGGCGTTTAATGATTTTAATTATTAGTTATAAATTAATAACTCCAGTTCTTATTGTGTCCTCCTCATTTAATATTCAGCTTATATTCGTGGCAGTCCAGCGAGGTGTCATACTGGACTGTAACAGTGTTAAGCTGGGGTATTGGATGAAGGGAAAGAGTAGAGAGAAGTAGGGATAAGGGTTATTACAATGGTAGTTGTCAGAACTATTACAACACGCTCATTTAAAGGTTAAACGGTTGTGAGACTGAGGAAGGTGGGAAGGACGAGGAGAGGAAGAATGCAATATGCGAGCATAAGAGGCACCAGCGAAAGGTGGGAGACGGCGAACTTGGCACCTCGCCTCAGGAAAAGACAAACGTTCCCGGTGCTTCAAGGTGAGGAAGGCTGCCTCAAGTTTGTAATGTACACACACGCAGGAGAAGGTAGGGTGGGCCTCACTGCAATTGAGGCAGTGAGCCTGGGGCACTCCGACTTAAAGTGAGTTTCGTCCCCACACAAGGGACAGAGAGAGAGAGTACTGGAGCACCGGAGGGAGCCATGCCCAAACCTCCAGCACTTATTACTTATTACAGAGCCGAGGAGAGGGAATGGACTCCTGGACGGAGCACCTGGCACCAGCAAGAATGCGAGAGCATAAGGGTCCTACCATCAAAGGTAATCTTCACAACCCGAAGGGGCTGACGGCGACGACCACGAGGGGGACAAGTAAACAAGTCTACCTGAAGGACAGAATGGCCCTGTGCTTCGAGAATATGCTGAATATCTTCATGGCAGTCCTGTAGATTCCTAACACCGGTTGCAACATGGGGTGGGAGGAGAATAGTGCCAACACTGGCATTCAACCGAGCGTTCTTTGAGACCCGAACAGGGGTCTCACAAGGCAGGATAAGGCGACCAAGCGGGTGGCTGCATCCTGAGGAGCAGCAACGATACGTGTACCGAGACGGGTGGGATCGGAAGTAACAGAGGCATCTACTGAATCAACAAGGTGCCTATGGAGGGAGAAATCGTCAGGAGTAGAATAAAGAGGAAGGAGATCAAAGTATTTGGCTCACAAAGTGGGACCAAACAAGGCCTGGAACGCATCAGTATGGGAAGGGATTGAGCGAGTGCCGCCGTGGTGTAGATGCCGTTGAGAACCCCCAGAGAGAGAGGGGTTAAAAGGCGCAGTAGTCACAATGAGAGACTGAGCCGTGCCAGGGGACGAGGTGGTCATCACTGGGGGCTTGTGACTCGACCCAACCACAGAGGGAGGGAGGGAGTGGAACCGAGGGGAGTAGTCAGGAGAGTCAAAGGAGGAGCAAGGTCAGGGCCCAATGCAGCGGGGGCTACAGAGTCCGGTCTTCCAACACGGTCCGACTTGGGAGGCTTGGTCGCCCACCCCACGAACCCGAGAAGGTATAAGAGGAATAGAATAAGACATAAAATGAAAGGTCAGACTTTCATTCACGAATGTGCCCCCACACCCACGATGGAGCCACAATTAGAGGCAGGACACCCAACAAGAGACATGTTGCTGATCTTGCCGGCCCCCCCCCCCCCTTTAGGGTGCGTCGAGAGTATACGCCCCCACAATCGCCACCTTAAGAACCGTCAAGTCTGTTGAGGTCGGGTTCAGTGACGAAAGGAGGATTGACAAAAGGGTCCCCTCGCTCGAGACATTGGGTACTACAGTTCTATGGGTGCAAGAGTATGCCTCCCCAAACACTTGGGAGTCAAAACAAAAGGTCGAAAGAATAATCAAAACAGGCAAAAGGTTGGCGGGAAATGACAATTAGAAAGAAGAAGAGGGGGAGAAGAATGAAACATAAGGAAAAGTCGTCCAGCAGAATTCACAAGGACAGCAGCAGGAGCATAAGGCCACAAAAAGACAGAGGACTGTCTCATGGAGTATCACACCCCAGCAGCCGCCCACCAAGCCTCCTCACGGCAACAACGGGCTGGACAGGGAGGGGGAAAGGAGGCTTAAAATGATGCCATCCTTCACACTCCAGGAAACAAGACATTAAGTAATATATCATCCTATATATATTTCCTCTTAAATCCTTTCCCTTTGTACTAATTTCAATCACTGAACTCATCCATTCCTTAGGTACACAATTATTAGCTTCGCTCAAAAGAGCATAAAAATTTTAAACTATTCCACTAGCACTATATATATTTCACCATGCATTCAGAGTGCCTTGATCTCTTTTTATATTAATTTGTTGCAAAGAAAACTGGCCTGAAAATCTTCCAAAAAATATTTTACTGATCAGCAAGCACATTTCTGAATACACTTTATTTACCAAATAAGCTTTCATACAGAACTTTTACCAACCGAATCCATCATCTTGTGGTGATTATAAATACAGGTATATATGCAGCCCCCGATTTGGAAGCACATGAATTTATTACTTTTTATGCAAAGTTTCCAAGCATGCAGGTGAATTATTTTGAAGTTAGGAAGATTTAATGCCAAATATCTGATGATCCACAGGTCCATCACATCCTCGGTAGTTTGTTGGAATAAAAACAAAAAAGG